TTTTTTAAGGGCGCAGCCCCCTACGGGGGGCGACCAAAGAAGCACAAGACAGTAGCTCAGAAAGTTAAGCCGACGGCGGTAGCCCGAGAGCGATCAGCACTAGATGGGATTTTTGAGGAGGAGATCGCTAGGAAGATTAACGAAAGGAAGAAGAAGGAGCCGTAACGGCTGACAGAAGAAAGGATAGCGGAGATGGACATAGGAGATGGAAATTTGACGGAACAAGAGAAGGAGCGAGTGCTAGAAGTTCTTAAGACTTGCGACAAGGCCATAGCTTTTAGTGACGCGGAAAGAGGAAGAATCAATCCTAGGTATGCCAAACCTGCTAGGATCTACACAATTTCGCATACTCCGTGGAATGATGAAGGGTGGAAGTTTGCACAGAAAGAGAAGGAAGAGGTAATCGCCTTCCTAAAGGAGAAGATGGCGTCGCATGTGGCGGAGCCATCCGATAGCGCGTATGCGAATAGGTGGTTCTTCTTACGGAAGCCTAAGGGGAAGATCCGGTGGATTCAGGACCTTCAAAAGGTTAACGCGGTCACTATACGGGATGTGGGGTCGATACCGCACGCTGATCTATTAGTAGAAGGAGCGGCAGGCATATCCATCTACTCTGTCTGCAATCTATTTTCAGGTTATGATGAGATACCCCTAGATCCTAGGGATAGGCATCTAACTGCCATGCACACGCCGCTCGGGCTAGTGCAGATGATGGTCGTGCCCATGGGGTGGACCAATGGGGTTGCGGTCTTCCAAAGAGCTATGGTTGTTGTTCTAAAGGACTTCATTCCTGACAAAGTTAAAGTCTTTTTGGACGACTTTCCGATAAAAGGGCCCGTATTGAAAGATGAGACGGAGGTTGCTCTTGGCATCAGGAAGTTCGTAGAGCAGCACCTAACGGACATCTACGCGGTCCTGGAACAACTAGATGAAGCTAACCTAACGGTTAGTGGGACGAAGAGCCGGTGGGCAGTCTTGACGATCAAGATTTTGGGGTTCATATGTGATTCAAGAGGTCGTCGGTCGGACCCGACAAAGTTGGATAAACTCCTGAACTGGACAACTCCGTTGCATAGCGCTACCGAAGTTCGACAATTTTTAGGAGTCGTAGGTTACTGGCGGATCTTCATATGGGGATATGCGGAGAAGGCAGAGCCTCTGCGGACTCTCCTTAGGAAAACGAAGCGATTTTACTGGGATTCTCCTCAGGAGTTTGCGGTACTAACCCTCAAGGAATAATTTAAAGAAGGGGGACGAATCCTGGGAGTACCATTCCTCGAGGACGAGACCAATAGGCCATTCATAGTGTCTACGGATGTCGGGCCATGCTCAGTTGGAGGGCTGCTTTCTCAAAAGGACGCTGACGGTAAGGAGAGGCCCCTGAGATTAGAGAGTCGAACACTTAACACCGCTGAACGCAACTATAGTTAATTGAAGGAGGTGTTAGTTGTCCTACTGTGCTTGGACGCTTTTAGACACTACCTATACGGGAGACGATTCATCTTACAAGTGGACCCTACCGCAGTAGCGCCAGTTTTGCAAAAGGACTTTAGTCTGGCAGATCCCACCATTGCGCGATGGTTGATCAGGATTTGGCTCTACGATTATACTGTGGAGAGAATCTCGGGAACAAAGAATGCGGTAGTCGATGGACTTTCGCGAATTCCGATTGAGGCGGAGCGACCGATAGTGTCAGCCGCGCTGACTATGGCTGAGCCTAGACGGACTGATCGATTCCTAGTTAACCTTTATGAAGGTAAGTATCGGGCCATCGGGTTGCATCTATCTGGAGAGGAGAGTTCGGACTCGGAGATTAGGAGACAGGCAACACAGTACTGCCTCAGATCTGGGCATTTGTTTCGCAGACCTACAGGATCAGGAATGCCTTTGCGAGTGATCTGTGACCCGGAGGAGAAGCAGTCTATAGTAGCGGAACTACATGACGGTGTGGTTGGTGGGCATAGAGGAGTAAAAGGGATATATGAGAAGGTCCGCAGATTATACTGGTGGGAAGGTCAGTACACGGACGTTGAAAAGCATTGTATGACCTGTGAGGAGTGTCAGAAGAGATCGCTTGTGAGATACAAGGAGCCGCTTCATCCGTCCTATCCTACTCGACCGGGCGAGAAGGTGCACATCGATCTAGTTAAGATGCCAAAGGGCGTAGGAAATATGAATTATGTCGTGAACTTCATAGACGACTTCACCGGGTTTGTCGACGGTAAACCTATTAGAACCAATCAGCTAGAGAAGTAAAGAACTTTGTTTCTGAAGTACCTGTCTAGATACGGGTGTATCAGTAGGATTGTGATGGACAAAGGATCGGAGCTCCTAGCGGACGAGGTGCAAAATGTGTTCAAGAAAGCGGGAGTGAGAGTATCGATAGCTACTGCCTATCACCCTCAATCCAATGCACCTGTAGAGCGAAGACATCAGTCCTTGATAGCGTCCCTATCCAAGTGGTGTAGAGGTAAGGATAGCGACTCGCCGAAATACTTTCAATATGCAATATGGGCTGATAATGTCACGGTCCAGGTTAGCACGGGGTATCCGCCATACACCCTATGGTTTGGGAGAAACTGTCATCTGCCCATAGAGTTTCATGTCGATAGTTGGACTACAGTTGACTGGGCGGATAGTATGTCACGAGAGGAACTTCTGGCAGCTAGGACTAGACAAATAGCCTACGGATTAGAGGACAATCTCATGACCGCGTCCGATCGATTGGCGGTGGAAAGACGCAAAGGCAAGGAAAGATGGGATAAGGATGTCATGGTTAGAAAGGAGAAGATAACTGTGGGTGATATGGTACTTCTCTACGATGCAGCGCCAGAAAGGACATGGTCAGGAAAGTTGGCGAACAGATGGATGGGACCTTACCGCGTAGTCGGCGCACTCAGTTGGGGAGCATATATGATTGCTGAGTTAGATGGGTCTAAGTGGAAGGATCCTGTGGCAGGGGCTAGACTGAAGTTGTTTAGGCCCAGGGAAACCCCTGCTTCTGCGCGGACACTATCGGACCCTAAGGTAAAGGGGAAAGCGAAGGTGACGGATGAAGGAGGACCGTCGAGACGGTTCGAGATAGGGGAGAGTTCGAAGAAGAGAGAGAGAGTAGAGACCAGGAAAGTGAAGGGCTTGACTCTGGGAAAGAAAAGGAAATGGCTTCTTGTGCTACGAAGACCTGAGCGCCAAGTCCGCCTTAGACGAGGTGGCGCATTTGCTGCACTGTCACCCCCACGAAGAAAGAAATTGAGAAATATCCCTAGATCTAAGTCCAAACGACCGCGACATAAGAGAGGGAAGAAACACCCTCTCAGTCCTAGAGTTCCAGAAAAACCCAAGCGCCAGACAGATAAGCACAGACATAAGAGCCGCGCTCGTGTGGTCAGTCTAAACCTTATACGTTCCGTCTGATTATGGCGGTACGGGCTCGATGGGGGCATCGAGAGGAGGTCCGGGCTTGTTTGTCGGGCGGCCGAAGGTCAGTCGGCCACCCGAAATCCGACGGATTAGCCCTTAGATTATCTGCCTGAAAAGGGATTGACCAGGACTTTCGTCTGAGCAGTTGGGAGAAATTGGGGGTCGGAGAGAGACCCCTAATATTCTCCATGTCAAGTATTAACATTGGCCCTTGAAATCGACGAAACGAATGGCCACGCTTGTCGCGGCTAGTACCTGTGGTTCTCGTCTGTTCCGAGGCTAATTCCGGAGCTGCTAGCCTCGGGACGGAAATACGGACATGGGCCTTGGCACGACTCTTTTGCATCATGCGATTGGTGTCGAAAAGACCCCACGAATTTTATTAATTTTAATATCAAAATTAAATTTGGGGAAAATAATTGAAGATAATAGGAGGTACAATAATAGCGGGATAATTGCTAATTATTTAATTTTTGATCAAATTCTTTCTTGAGGGAATTATCCCTTATTTTTATTATTGCTGATAATGGAACTAAAAATGAGAAAAATAATTAAAGATAATTAAAGGAAAGAAAAACGAAGGAGAATTTGTTATTTAATATATTTTCGTCGGAATTTATTTATGATAAAATTGATCTTCATTTTCCGTTTTCTCGATGACCGAACTAAGAATAGGAAAAATAATTAAAATGATAAAAGAAAAGAAAACTAACGATTATTTAATATTTGATTAAATTTTATTTGAATTATTCACGATGGGACTTAGCCCCGGATTATTTATTTAACCCGATTCTAACGATTCTCACCATTTCCCGATAATTGTTGAGACTGAGCTGCATGTTGGCCTCTGACAGGTGCCGATGAATGACGATCTAAGCCCGTATGTGACTTCTAGGACCTATTGACGTAGTCGATGAATCTATGGGACCTACCGGGATATTCCTACTGGTGAGGCTATTTTACAAGAAATTGGGACTGGGACTCCTAGTTGCACGACTCTTTCACTGTGGATAGCGTGAATGCAGAGTGGACACATGGGGAATCATTAGCTTCTTGGTGGAGTTTTATTGCATGTGAAATCTGTACTGATGCCCATTTATGTGCTGAACTGCCATGGGTGGTTAGCATGGCCAAAAGTTTCACCTGTAAAGATAAAGGGTGGGTGTCCGTGTAGTCGTGGCTCAGCCATTGGCATCTCCTTGCGACTGTCGCCTGCTTTCTTGCTCATCCGACTACAGAGGGCCTGCTTTCACCTCTCTCTCTCTCTCTCTCTCTCTCTCTCTCTCTCTCTCTCTCTCTCTCTCTCTGTGTGTGTGTGTGTGTGTGTGTGTGTGTGTGGTGTTAAAAATCGCCAATATCAACCCTCAATTCATCCCAGCACTTCTGTGCCGAAGTTTAGCCTTTCGAAAGGAAAAGAAAAAAAAAGAAAAAAATATCCATCCCAACACAGGCGAAACAATAATCAGAGTGCAAGGTGCCCCATGTCTGTGTAGATGAACATGCAGTGCCCACACTTTTGTCTGCTTAAAGCACACCTGTATGTGTGTGTGTGTCTGTCCCACTGTCTCCGTTTGCTGCAGAGATGTTGGATGCCATTCCCAAAAAGAGGAAGAGGGAAGAGCAGGAGGAGGTTGAAGACTCTTCAGAAGATGAGGGAAATGAAGAATATGTCAAGGGTCTCAATGAAGAGGATGGGTTAGTGGTAAGAATAGCCTCTTTCAAATTGCTATTTTAGCTATTGGGAAACGAAGTTGTGAAGTTAGCCCTGATGGTTGTAATAGGTGCCCAATGATAGTTCTCCTGCTTGTGATGTCCACTTGTGCTACATTGAAAGGGAAACAAAGTTGTGAAGTCAGCCCAGGTGGTCCTAATAGGTGCCATAATGCCATTATAGTTCTCCTGTTTGTGTTGGCCTCTTGCACTCAGCGTTGGCAGGCTTTCCAGTACCTGATCAAGTATTTTGAGTTCAAGGACCTCGTGCATTGGGCGTGAAATGTTTGACTGGCAGTTCTCCCTACAGCTACTCTGAGGACACTATAGAGGCCCTAACCCCAGCTCTCTCTCTCTCTCTCTCTCTCTCTCTCTCTCTCTCTCTCTCTCTCTCTCTCTCTCTCTCCCCCCCCCCCCCCCCCCCCCCCCCCCCCCCCCCCCCCCCCCCCCCCCCCCCCCCCCCCCCCCCCCCCCCCCCCCCGTGTGTGTGATCACTGTCATGCAGTGCAGTTGCGATGCCAGCGCAGCACAGCATGGAAGTTTTTGCAAAATCTGTGCATGCCATCCTTGCTGAAGGCACCATGCTAATCTTCTCTGCATCATCCCAGTTTCATGGTCGGGCGCAGGGGCTTCTCGTCTCCTCCGTATCACTCAATGGTCTCGCCTGAAATGTCTTTGCACTGCGCTGCACAAATTTCTTTTCGGAACCGTGCAGTGGACTGTTGAGCACTGCACAGAAGATTAGCATGCTCGCTCCTGGAAGGTTGTCGTGCACGTGCTGCCAAAACACCTGCCGCTCTGCCAAAAACTAGAGGAACTGTCGTAGACCATGAAAATGTTGTCCCAGATGGTTTTTGCCACCCGCTGGGGCCACAGAGTCTTTGCAGTCTTGCGGGACAGCATTACGTGAGACCCGCTTTTTGCTGTATGGAATGCAGTGGAAAGGCCTACTTTTTGCTTGAAGGATGTAGTGGAAAACTGTCTGAAGAAGGGTAAAAGGTGACGCTGCGTTGAGCTTTCATTATCTCTTGAGGATGTTCTGTGAAACGGTATTCACCTGTTCGCAGCAGCGAATGCAGATCCCAGGGCTCGATCCCTAGACTTTACCTTACCTGTGTACATTACCTGCGTCGACCCCGAGAGTTGAACCCGTGACCTGTGTATTTGTCACAGTTGGTAGACTGTCGTAGGTCCGTAGGTGGTAGGGGTTCGATCTGTAGACCTATTGGATAGAGGTCTTAGCGAGGCCTAGAGGTTGTAGGTGTAGTTGTCCTGAGAAGTCAAGGTCGTAGCTGCTACAGTCCTGAAAGGTCAAGGTCGTAGCTGCTACAGTCTTCGAAAGGCCAAGTCTGCAGCCTTCGAAAGGCCAAGTCAAGGTCATACGTTTAGACAGAGGCAAGTGGGCAAGTGGTAAGCCCAACTGCGGTACGTCGGCGGTGCAACTGCACCGAGTTGGCAGTGCAAACCCATGTAGTCAGCGATACCGGTCCCAGTCAGTCACAGTCCAGTCAAGCAAGTACCGTGTGGGACTGTGTGCACCAAGGGCATGGGAAAGGGGCTGACCAACGAGCTACAGAAGTATAAATCAAGAGGCAGCGCCCAGCCATGCATTTATTCCTGCTTAAGCCATGCGGAAGCGCTGCCACAGCAACTTGTGCGATGTGGTCTGCTGTGATCCCGAAGACGAAATGGGCGAGAAGGAGAGCTTAGCCATAGCTATACGGATAGCAGCGGCCATAGCCGCCATAGCTGATAGGAGAGTGTAGCGTGTGTGTGTGTGCGCGTGTGTACAGTGTGACACGTGTGGGATATCCAGGGTGATCCCGTCTGTGTGAACAGCAGGGTTGGGTGAGTGACGAACAGAGAGTTGTACAGGTGCTGATGCGCCATAGTCACGAAGTGAGCTCGTATCTGAACTTTGTTCCTTGGTACCATATCTCTGAGTTCTGAGTGGGTGCTTGTCGCCAGTTTCTGTGCAACCTGTTTACATGCAGTTGTGGAAAGAAGCGAGTCTGATTGCATTGGTATCAGAGCTGGTACCCACTATTCCACGTGCGATCGTCGTGTGCCGTAGGGAGATTCCCGCGCCATAGCTGAAGGCGCCATAGGAGTAGAAATCCGCCATAGCAGATCCGCCAAGTGAAGACGCCGCTGTGCGCACCTGCAAAGAAGACCACGATGAAGAGAGAGAGAGAGAGAGAGAGAGAGAGAGAGAGAGAGAGAGAGAGAGAGAGAGAGAGAGAGAGAGAGAGAGAGAGAGAG